TTACCCTTTTCCCCCTATGCCCCTCCCCTAGTCCACTGATAGGGGAGGTCCTCCTCCCATGCTATTTGACCCTAGCCTATCATGTCTCATCAGGACTGGCTGCATTGTCTTCCTCTGTGGCCTGTTAAGGCTGCACCCCCCATGGAGAGGTGAACAGAAAGCCTGCCACTGAGATCATATCAGAGACAATCCCTGTTCCCCTTCCTAGGGACCCCACTTGGAGACTGAGTCTATGGGCTACATCTGAGCTGGGATACATGATTTCCCTACATATAACCTGCTAACTTAGAATTCACCATGTGGGCCAGAATGACATCAAACTCATAATAATGCTCCTGCCTTGGCCCAAAAGTTCTGAGATTCTAGACTACAGCCAGCATGCATGACTAACTCATAGATTTCTATTATAAACATTGAACATTAAACCTGTACTTTGCACATTTTACATAGGGGAAACTGAGCGTACATACACCCAACATTTATATTCTTTCTCCCAGAAAGTAAAATCCCATACTACATATTCCCCATTTTTCCACCGCTGTTAATTTACTGCAGGAAAAAAAATGCTAATTATTATTTTCTTACAATGCCAAGACTAATACTAAACTTTAAAAATTATTACTAACATGCACTCCACAAAATTCTGTTGACACAAGATAACAAGCACTAATCCATCTACCACATTGACACCCTTTTTTATATATTAATTACAGTTTATTTACTTTGTATCCAAGCTGTAGCTCCCTCCTTCATTCCCTCCCAATCCTGCCCTCCCTCATCTCCTCCCTGCCCCTATCTAAATCCACTGATAGGGGAGGTCCTCCTCCACTTCCATCTGACCCTAGCTTATCAGGTCTCATCAGGACTAGCTGTGATGTCCCTCTCTGTGGCCTAGCAAGGCTGCTCCTCCCTCAGGTTGGGGGTGGGGGTTCAAAGAGGCAGCCATTGAGTTCATGTTGGAGATAGTCCCTGTTCCCTTACTGGTGAACCCACTTGGGTTACGCCTGAGCAGGGCTTCTAGGTTATATCCATATATGCCCCTTGGTTGGAGAATCAGTCTCAGAAAAGACCGCTGTGCGCAGATATATTTGGTCCTTGTGGAGCTCCTGTCATTGACACCTTTATGATTGGTTGTTAAAACTCAGTCTCTTCTCTGGTTAATTTTCTTTTATTCTTCACTTCTTAGTCAATTAGAACTCTTTTAGGAAATGTGAATAGTTCATAATTGTCTTTAAGTTTGAAAATACCCAATTTTTCTATGATTCTTTTTAAAAAGTAAACTATTGTACAGTGGCAAGTATAATTTATGCAGGCTGAAAACTAACTTTTAAGATATATTCAATTCTGTAAAATTCCATTACCTACCCTATAGGCCTTACATGGGGCTAGAAATAAAAATGTGTGAGACTGTGACCCTTTGCTTCATAGGGATATCTTCAGATCCTGCCATTCTGGGAGTCTGCTCATTAATTTAGTTGTCCTTTGATCCCAATCTCACTTCCCTCTCCTCTTCTTGCTTCTTGCCTTTCATCCATTGTGTATCCGTTTGAACATTTGACAAAAGCTCTTTATTTCTACCAAACTTTGGGGGGGGGGGTTCTGGATAAATTTTTTAGTACTTATCTCTTAAAGGAGAATAAGTTTTACACATAACTAGTTATAAGAACTAAAGAAAATTATTTAAAGCCCTTATCTACGGAACTTTCAGTATGACCGTAGCAATGAAAATTATAGTCATAAGTGTGAATGTTCCAGGCACATGTACAAACATGTGCACAAACACTTTGGAACACACAAATACACTTATGGAACATACACACAAACATGGACATATATACATACATAATCACACACACATAATTGAATAATCATTGAAGGTAAATTCCTTAAAACACAATTTTCGTAAACTATTTTTGCCATTTTTGAAGAATTATAATTTATTTGAGCTAATCTCATGAAGAATTACAAGAAACAGAATACCTGTAATTATTCCAAGCTGTACTGAAATATGACACAAAGAGCCCATCAAGGTGACAAATACTTGTTGTGCTTCTGTATGTACTTAATAGCCATATAAAAATCTGTGGGTCTATGTAAGTGGCAGCAGGAATCATAAAACAATGCAAAACAAAATAAAAACAAAACAGCTTTACATACATAATCTCTAGAGACATACAAAGCAAGGGATGCTTACAGAACTGACATAGTTTACAGACTTTCACTGAAGAAAGAGGACCATAATGACACTATAGTTGAGAACTCATTTCATGGGAGGAGTTCTATGAAATACAGTTTATAAGTCTCTAGATTTCAATACAGAGAAAGTTTTCTGGCTGTGAACTATCATTGAAACATGAGCATGGAGGAGGAGAGCCCTTACAATGTAATTTCTTAGTAAGGACCAGATTCCTCATACACAACACTGTTTGACCTGTGTATTTCCAAGTTGTTCCTCCCATCCTTTCAGAGTTTTCATCTTCCTGCATCCTCACCCGTTATATGGTACATCTCCATACCTTTTCTAATTTTCCTAATGCTTTGTCTTAGAAAATTTTCCTGATAAATACTCAAGATCAGTTCTTCCCTCCCTGCTGGAAAACAAAATGACAAGTGGTCCAAGTAACCAAAAAACAATCTTTTATGAACAACAGATAACATTTCTTTCCATTGGTGTTTTAGAATGTTTCTCTACCGAATATAATATTAGAAAATAAAGGAGTTAATATTTTGACTACCATTTCTGCTGTTATTTCGGGTCACTTTTCTAGTAGGCATATATTGGTAAAATATTCACTAAAAATGGACCTTCTATAAAACATGACTACATCTGATGATACAGAGAAAGCAGGAGTATGAACATTTTAAAAACTGACACATATTTTAAAATCTGTGATTTTTATCCACTTGTTACTTAGTGGGCATTAGATACTGATGATCTGGTCTCTTATTGGGACCTATGAGTGATCAAGGTTCATAGCCTTTATCTTAAAGTATCACACAAAATACTGATGGGCTGTGTGTGCTTACGCAGATAAAAACAATCTGAAGCGCTACAGTTGATATACACAGTGATGAAAAAGAGTAAATAACATGATGCATGTGTAAGATTCAAATGTGAAACATATATGAATCACTTAGTTCTAATGACTTAGGGTGTTGTTTTTTGTTTTGTTTTGTTTTATTTTGCTTTTCTTTTTTGACTTATGCTTTCATAGCACTGATAATCATTAAAGGAAGTCAGGACAGGAACTCAAACAGGGCAGGAACCTGGAGGTAGGAGCTAAAGCAGAGGCCATGGAAGGGTGCTGCTTACTGGCTTCTTTACATGCTTCTTTACTTGCTCAACCTGCTTTATTACAGAACACAGGACCACCAGCCCAGGGATGGCACCACCCGCAACCATTTCCCCCATCAATCACTAATTAAGGAAATGCTATACTGGCTTAGGTACAGCCTGATCCTATGCAGTCATTTATCTAGTTGAGGTTCTCTCCTCTTCTGTGGTTCTAGCTTGTGTCAAGTTGACACAATACTTGTCTCAGGAGATATCTCTATCAGTAAATGGTGTGTCATCATATGCTTACCACATTGACTTGCAAGTTACACTGTGGCCACCCTGACTAAAGCCACAAATACCGGCCATCAATTTTCCTTCCAGAGAGAAAGACAGAAAGTAGCAGGCTAAAGAATAGAGAAAAACCAAACACAAAATGTGTTTTTTTTCCTCTCTTAGTATCTCTCTCTTAGTAAAAGCTTGTGTCTGCATCACCTTCATCATCACTCTGGCATCATCAGAGTATTTTAAATGACAGAATGAAGCTAAATGGGGCCCCTGACCCATGTGTTTTTCTAGAAATGAAGCTGCACTGTTGAATGTCAAGACCTTCTAGTTGTCCATGTATTAGCAAACATGGAGAAGACTACAGGAAGTCGGACATGGAGCACTGACTTGCTCCATCTTAACATTTGTTTACAACATGTAGAAAGGGGGAAGACAAAGGAACCAGTAGACAAGGAGAGGGAGAGGGGAAAGGAGGGAAAATCTGTTCCTTCTGACAGAATGATAGCTGACTGGAGCTGTTTCCATTCTTTTCCTTCTCACATCTCATGGGGCTAAATGGGAACATATAATTTCTTGCTTTGTAAAATATAGGGATATTTTAGTTACAGAAATATTACCTTTTTAAAATATAGTGAAATATTTTGCCAGACGCATCGATTAAGAGCACTTGCTGGTTTTCCAAATAACTTAGGTTCTATTACCAGCACCAACAAGTGGCCTACAAATATCAATAACCCCAGTAGCAGGGAGTCCAGTGCCCTCTTCTGGCCTCCTTGGACACCGGACACTCATATAGTACACCAGACACTCATATGGTACACCAGACATACATAAAATTTAAATTCATTCTGTCTTACAAAATTTTAAGATTCGTGTGTGTATGTCTCTCTCTCTCTCTCTCTCTCTCTCTCTCTCTCTCTCTCTCTGTGTGTGTGTGTGTGTGTGTGTGTGTGTATGTATGTGTGTGTGTGTGACTTCTGCACCCATGTTTGCAGAGGCTAGGGAAGGTTATTGGCTCTCCTGGAGCAGCAGTCATAAGTGGGTGTCAGTTGCCTAACATGTGCTAGGAATTGGAGTCTGAGGAATCTCTCCATCTCCTGCCTTACTGTATTGATGAAAACTTACCCTTGATGACTGATTTAAATCTTAAAGTCCAAATGCATCACAAATACATTTCTTTAATCTTTTCTTTCTATTGAGTGTTTTCCCATAGAATCGAGCTCATGAGTAGGCAGTGATAGAGAGAGGCTCTTATGAAAAGCAAATGACTCTGAGTACTTGCTGGTTCTTGGAAACCCAGTCAATTGAGAAGATTTTGCCTCTAGCTTTTAGTATGCATTGAAATGGCAGAAATTTGTTACTAGGACTATTCCCCAATGAGTTTTCCATCGCTTTGGTTTAATTTAACTAAGCTGACCTATTTCCACTTGTTTTACAGGAGGGTAGTTCCTGTTTGGTGAAGCATGAGGAGGGTCCCCAAAGTAACATCACTGCAGAATCAGAACCCACAACACAGGTATTCAATCCTTGTTAGTCTATTGATTTTCATTATATCCAGAAAGTCCTTCTTATACACACTGGATTGCGGGGCAATTCTTGTTTAGTGTGTGTGTGTGTGTGTGTGTGTGTGTGTGTGTGTGTGTGTGTGTGTG